TTGTTATTTAATACCTCAAGATCTATCATTTTTAAACTTAGTCCAGCTTTTGGAAATCCTCAGTAATATTTCGTTCCTTCGTTTACGATCATTCTTTGGCATTTAATACCTCAAGGACTACTATCTCTTGAAAGTTCCTAGTAATCTCTCGATTCTTCATTCTTCTGTACTCAAGGACTATCATTATCTCTCGATCCTTCACTCTTCTTTACTCGAATTCGAAATGGCGATTCCTTGACAATCTCTGTATTCCATTCTGTTCTAGTTCTGTCCTAATTCTGTTCTAGTTCAGTTCTAGATCTGTTCTAGTTTTGTTCTAGTTCTGTTCTAATTGTTCTAGTTCTGTTCTAATTGTTCTACTTCAGTTCTAGTTCAGTTCTAGTTCTAGTTCAGTTCTAGTTCAGTTCTAGTTCAGTTCTAGTTCTAGTTCAGTTCTAGTTCAGTTCTAGTTCAGTTCTAGTTCAGTTCTAGTTCAGTTCTAGTTCAGTTCTAGTTCAGTTCTAGTTCTGTTCTAGTTCTGTTCTAGTTCTGTTCTAGTTCAGTTCTAGTTCAGTTCTAGTTCAGTTCAAGTTCTTTTCTAGTTCTGTTCTAGTTCTGTTCTAGTTCTGTTCTAGTTCTGTTCTAGTTCTGTTCTAGTTCTGGTTCTAGTTCTGTTCTAGTTCTGTTCTAGTTCTGTTCTAGTTCTAGTTCTGTTCTAGTTCTGTTCTAGTTCTGTTCTTGTTCTGTTCTAGTTCTGTTCTAGTTCTGTTCTAGTTCAATTCTAGTTCTGTTCTAGTTCTGTTATATTTCTATTCTAGTGCTGTTCTCGTTCTGTTTTAGTTCTGTTCTAGTCCTGTACTAGTTCTGTAACGTGATAGTCTTAGAGAAAACATTAGGCTTATCATAGTAAATTTGAATTGTAACGCCATAGTCTTAGTTGAAGCCCTGCATCTTAATTAGAACAGTATCTTTTCGCTACTGGATTATTTTATTTGGTCGGAGGCGGCGGCTTATTATAGAAAATACTGGTGGCGGCTAAATTGTCGGCTCAATTTAACTTTTTCTTCAATGCGATTCCAACCTTTATCAGCGGCCACGTTTAAGCCGTACATACGTTTTTGAAGCGAAAGAAGTTGGCGGCGGCACGGCTTGTAAAATGTTAACGGCGGTCAGCAGCCACCGATATAAGTCGTTTTGGTTAGAGGTTTTTAAAATTGTGATAATGTTATTCAGATACTACTCCGAATAATGTATAAATAATGACATTTATATGTGATCTTGTTTTATGACGAGATCAATATATTCTTTCTCGACTGCATAAATATTTTGTGGACATCTTTCATTCAAAGATATTTTCGGTGCAAATTAGATAAATTCTCATCTGATAGTATACGATTAAAAACTATTAATACCGTTATTTACTTCCATCTTTAGGAATTAAGGAATTAATTTATTGTCGTTTTAAAAATTTTAAAAAATAAATAGAAAACTAGTTTAATTATTATTCAATCACACTTTTCACAACAATAAATTACACATTTTCATTAAACAAATCATGCAAAATTTGTGTTAATTATAAACAATATTTAATGAAGAATTTAAATAATTAAAAAGCTTTTTTTTAATTTATTTTGTTTTGTGTTTCCTTATATTATTTCATTTAATTATAAGTTTTTTACAAAAATCTTTAGTTAATTTCTTTAAAAATATTTAAGTATTATAACAAAAAAGAAAAAAAAAAAAACACAATTTTGTGTAACTTTTAACATAATTTTGTTTGCATTAAATTTTCACCCCACTATTTTTTTATGGGAAAACAACCCTTTTTTTTCGCTTTACTTTATGCTTCATATAAATGGATTTAAATATATTAAAAATAAACGTTTAAAAAACCGTTAAACCCCCTAAAATACAACACCACAACTACACAACAATAATAAAGCAGTCGTAATTTTAGTGGTGTCCCCAGACGTTTATTGGACGGCAGTAATCGTCAAATATCGTCGATTGCTTTAAATGCTTCAACGGTCTCAGCCAGCAATAATATACTAATGAATTCATCCAATTCACCGTATGGCACATTGAGTAGCATTAAATCTACTCATTCCTCCTCATCGTCATCGAATGGTAGCCATAGCAGTAGTAGTGGTAGCAATAATGTTATAACATTTCAATGTACAACAACTTCAGTCGATACTGTGGATGGCCTGCCAGCGGCCTCCTCATCATGTTCATCATTTACAGCCGCAGCACAACAACAACAGCAACAGCAGCAAACACAACAGCAATCGTTAGTAGGCTCACCTGCCAGTGGTGGTGGGTGTTGTTTAGGCGTAGTTGCCGCCGCCACTGCTGCCTGTGCATCAGCTACAGGCACTATTACTTCTGGTAGTGCTAGTGGTGGCGGTATACTTGTCTTAAATAGCAATAGCGGTGGGAATAGCCCTCGTTTGGGTGATGCAGCTTTAAGTTCTTTAGCAGCCAGTCCCACAGATGCCTGTAGTATACGCTCAAATCCTTCCGCTGCCTCTTTAATGGCTAACAATGAATTGATGTCGGCTAGTGGAGGCGTTACTTCGGTCATTTGTGGTGGTATTGGTAGTACTGCTACGCTTTCACCGCTTTCTTCTTCTGCTGCTGCTCATCATCTTATGCGACGTCCCAGCATTACTATGTGCGTTTAAGTTTCCCATTATATGCATTAGATTTTTTGGCCAAATTTCCTTTTTTTTAGATTCAACTTTTATCCTCTTTTATTTCATTTCCAGAATTTCATTTTAAAAGTGTGTTCTGTAGTGGTTTGTTTTACTTTAAGCTTGAGATTGTTTTTATAATTTTATTTAATTTGCTTTGGTTTATCTTTGAATTCTTTAATTCTTTAGAAAGCATGTTGTTTTGGAATGATTCCTAATAGGTTTATTACGAGTTGCAATTTTAGAATATTTTGCACGAAATTTTTTTTATAAAATATACATATTTCATCAAATTTCATTTTCAAAAAATTTTACTCTCAATGTGAGCATTTTTATCTGTACAAAAGTTGTTTCAATTTGATCCGCTTTTTCTATAGAAAAGTTGTCTCAATTTGAGTCACTTTTTCTATAGAAAAGTTGTCTAATTTGAGCAACTTTTTCTATAGAAAAGTTGTCTCAGTGAGAGCAACTTTTTTTAGAGAAAATTAAAGAAAAGTTGTTTCAATGTGAGCAATATTTTCCGTACAAAAGTTGTTTCAATGTGAGCAACATTTTCCGTACAAAAGTTGTCTCAATTTGAGTCACTTTTTCTATAGAAAAGTTGTCTCAATTTGAGTCACTTTTTCTATAGAAAAGTTGTCTCAATTTGAGTCACTTTTTCTATAGAAAAGTTGTCTCAATTTGAGTCACTTTTTCTATAGAAAAGTTGTCTCAGTGAGAGCAACTTTTTTTTTAGAGAAAATTAAAGAAAAGTTGTTTCAATGTGAGCAACATTTTCCGTACAAAAGTTGTCTCAATTTGAGCCACTTTTTCTATTGAAAAGTTGTCACAATATGAGCTACTTTTCCTATAGAAAAGTTTTTTGCTATAGAAAAGTTGTCTCATTGTAAGCAACTTTTCCTATAGAAAAGTGGTCTCAATGTGAGCAACTTTTCCTATAGATAAGTTGTCTCAATATGAACAACTTTTCCTAAAGAAAAATTTCTCAATGTGAGCAACTTTTCCTATAGAAAAATTGTCTCAATGTGAGCAATTTTTCCCATAGAAAAGTTGTCTCAATGTAAGTAACTTTTTCTATAGAAAAGTTGTCTCAATATGAGCAACATTTCCTATTGCAACTTTTCCTATAGAAAAGTGGTCTCAATGTGAGCAACTTTTCCTATACTTTTCTTAGTTCGAGCAACTTTTCCCATAGAAAAGTTGTCTCAATGTGAGCAACTTTTTCTATAGATAAGTTGTCTCAATATGAGCAACTTTTCCTATAGAAAAATTGTCTCAATGTGAGCAACTTTTGCTATAGAAAATTTGTCTCAATGTAAGCAACTTTTCCTATAGAAAAGTTGTCTCATTGTAAGCAACATTTCCCAAACAATAATTGACTCAATGTGAGCAACTTTTCGTATAGAAAAGTGGTCTCAATATAAGCAACTTTTGCTATAGAAAAGTTGTCTCATTATAAACAACTTTTCCTATAGAAAAGATGTCTCATTTTAAACAACTTTTCCTATAAAAAAGTTGCCTCATTGTAAACAACTTTTCCTAGAGAAAAGTTGTCTCATTGTAAGCAACTTTTTCTAAAGAAAAGTTGTCTCAATTTCAGCCACTTTTCCTATAGAAAACTTATCTACAAATGAACGACTTTTTCTATAAAGTTTTCATAGATTTTTCAAAATTTATTTGTCTCTGAATAAGTTTTCTTTAAGAAATGTCTCTTTCGGAGCCTCTTTTTCTTATAGAAAAGTTGTCAGATCTGAAAGACATTCTGCTAAAAAATAATCACTAGAAAAATTTGTACATATTTTTGTTTAAATAAATGTTCTGTGTGTCCTTTTCAACAATTGTTTCATTTCATTCACCACAACTCACTAAAATACTAATCATACTAATATTTGTATTATATGTAGTTTGAAAAAAAAATGTCCTTTCAAAAATGTCCTCCTTATGCGAAACATTTCTAAGCACTGCAAAATTTTCTCATATCACCATTCAATTCAAACGCACTTCATTATTAAGAAATAAAAAAAGCTTTTTCTCCAAAACAAAACATTTAGTTTTGTTGTTTTTTATTATTTGTTAAAGTCCTTTTCTTTAATGTACTTTTATTTTTTATAAAAAAAAAAATTTGTTTACTAATTTTATATTTTTTTTTATTTGTTTACTTTTTTTCCGAACTTTACTTTTTTTTACTGAATGTAACTCTACACAACAAAACTTTTGGATTATTTTGTGTTAAAAAACAATAATGAATTGCTGTTAAAAAAACATTCTTTTATAAAAAAAAACAAATCAAACAAATTGGAACTACAATCTCTGCTAACTTTGTCTTAGGAATCCCAGTTCTGGCTCTTTAGTTATAAGTGAAACAGGTTCATTGGATCGCATGAAAAATACCGCCGAAAAACGTAAAAAAGGCCCTCTGGATGATGGTCCCAGGGTATCGGATCGTGTGGAGGAGACACGTGTTAATCCGAATTCTTTAATTGATGAGATTTTAAAGGATACTAAATTGGATCAATTAGAAGAAACGGCTGAAAGTGAGTATTGAGAAAAATATATATTTTTTTCTTTTTATTTCTAATTACTGCAGGTTTGGGAGTTATTTTGCTTTTTATTTCTAGTTACTGGGGGTTTTGGGAGTTTTTTTTTCTTTATTTATAATTACTGGGGGTTTGAGAGTTTTCTCTTTTTATTTATAATTACTGCAGGTTTGGGACTTTTTTCTTTTTATTTCTAATTACTGCAGGTTTGGGACTTTTTTTTTATTTCTAATTACTGCAGGTTTGGGAGTTTTTTCTTTTTATTTCTAGTTACTGCAGGTTTGGGAGTTTTTTCTTTTTATTTCTCGTTACTAGGGGTTTTTGGGAGTTTTTTCTTTTTATTTCTAGTTACTGCAGGTTTGGGAATTTTTTTCTTTTTATTTCTAATTACTGCAGATTTGGCAGTTTTTTATTTTTATTTTCGGGGGCTTTTGGGAGATTTTTCTTTTTATTTCTAATTACTGCAGATTTGGGAGTTTTTTTATTTTTATTTCTAATTACTGCAAGTTTAGGAGTTTTTTTCTTTTTATTTCTAGTTACTGGGGTTTTGGGAGTTTTTTTCTTTTTATTTCTAGTTACGGGGTTTCGGGAATTTTTTTCTTTTTATAACTTTTTACTGCTACTGTTATTAATTTGTTATTAATTTCTTTTTTCTAAACTTTTAGCATCCGGTTTACAATTGTATATAGGTAAAGATGGCACCACTTCATTTGGTAACCATGAGCTTAAATCTAGAGTCTCTGCTGGGGCTTTCAAACAGGTTGTCATGGAGAATCCAAGATAGTAGCATAAATTTCTAATCTAAAATAAGACTTTTTTCAAAACAACAACAACAACAAACAAACCTACTACTATTACAAAACTACAACAAAATAAACTATACTATATAGAAATAAATATACATAAAATATTGATATAATAATAAAAAAAAATTAAATTTAAAAAAGAAAAATTTAATAATTTATATATTTAAAAAAAGAGGTAAAATTATTAAAATTATAAAACAAAGAAACCATAAATGTTATTATATATAGAAAATATACTATAAAATATATATTATATTTAAAAAAAAATAAAGAAAATTTCCATTGTATTTAAACGAAAAAAAGAAAGAAAAAAGAACTACTAACTCTTAACTACTCCTACTAAATACTCCCCTCCCTATTAAATGAAGTTTAATAACAAATAACAAAAAAAGTATTGCATTATGTTAACAAAAGAAAACAAATAAAATTTCGAAAAGTCTACTTAAGAAAAACCATTTAAAAAACTCTTAATTAAACCCCAACCTACCGTTATTAAAACAATAAAGAAAATTTTTTAGACAATTTTGAAAAAACGCAACTCACTTTACACCATTAAAAAAAAAAAACAACAAAAATTAACATTTTTAAAAATTTCCTTTAAATCTGTTTTCAATTTGAAATATTAAATTATAAAAAAAACATAAAATAAAATAAACTCTGCTGCCCATACAAAGCACATGTTAAAATAATTGCTTAATTAATTAAATATATATAAAAAAACTAGGCTTCCTTTTAAACAAATACTACAAAACATTTTCTATAATCTGCCCTTAAACTGCAGGTTTAAACAGCCGTATTAAATATTTAAATTTAAAAACTCCAAAAAGAAAATTATTTATTAAAATAATATTTTTTTCAAATATTTAAGAAATTAAAAAAATACTTTCAAAATCCTTAACAAATTAAAGGATTTTTTATTAAAATATTATTATAATTAAAAAAAATATAATAAATTCGTTTAAAAATCAAACTGTTAAACTAATCTTATGTTTATTTTATAATTTTTTTATACAAATTTCTTTTTTATTTAAATAATTATTATATTTTTTACTCAACTGTGTATATTATTTTAAATTAATTTTGTTTAATTATTTTCAAAAATTCTACAAAAGAAAATTATATTTTATAAACTTTTTTAAACATTTTATCATAATTCACCATAGCTATGCAATAAATAATTAAAATACGCTTCATATTAATAAAAAAAATAAAACAAAATAAACTAAAATCACAACATTTTCAAAATACATTTAAAACAATTCAATAACATTTTTCATACACTTAATAAAATCCAACAGTTTTTAAACAAAAAATTATGTATGAAAATGTTTATTTTGTGAAATATTAAGTAAGTTTAAAACCTAAATAAATAATAAAATATTTAATTATAACTGCTTAGTATGTAATAATAAATATGTATTTGTGAGTATAATATAAATAAATAATGTATTGATTAATTGATTGAAATTAATTAAATTTAAAACAAAAAGGAAATAAATTTTTTGTCGTGTAAAAATATTAAAAACAGAGAAATTAAATAAAAAATTGTGATTTCAAACAAAAACAAGAAAGAATTTTAATTATTTCAAAAATGTTCGCCAATTTCATATAAAAATCGATATTTGGGGGAAATATGAATGATCACAGATTTTCACTATTTTCTCGATTGGAGTGTTATTTAAGAAACTACAGCCGATTTAAAGTTTTTCATATAAAAATCGATGTTTGTTGGGAATTATGAGTGATCACAGATTTTCACTATTTTCTCGATTGGAGCGTTATTTAAGAAACTACAGCCGATTTAAAGTTTTTCATATAAAAATCGATTTTTGTGGGGAAATATGAATGATCACAGATTTTCACTATTGTAGCGTTATTTAAGAAACTACAGCCGATTTAAAGTTTTTCATATAAAAATCGATTTTTGGGGGGAAATATGAATGATCACAGATTTTCACTATTTTCTCGATTGGAGTGTTATTTAAGAAACTACAGCCGATTTAAAGTTTTTCATATAAAAATCGATTTTTGGTGGGAAATATGAGTGATCACAGGTTTTCACAATTTTCTCGATTGGAGCGTTATTTAAGAAACTACAGCCGATTTAAAGTTTTTCATATAAAAATCGATTTTTGTGGGGAAATATAAGTGATCACAGATTTTCACTATTTTCACGATTGGAGCGTTATTTAAGAAACTACAGCCGTTTTAAAGTTTTTTATAAAAATCGATTTTTGGGGGGAAATATGAATGATCACAGATTTTCACTATTGTAGCGTTATTTAAGAAAATACAGCCGATTTAAAGTTTTTCATATAAAAATCAATTTTTGGAGGGAAATATGAATGATCACAGATTTTCACTATTTTCTCGATTGGAGTGTTATTTAAGAAACTACAGCCGATTTAAAGTTTTTCATATAAAAATCGATTTTTGTTGGGAATTATGAGTGATCACAGATTTTCACTATTTTCTCGATTGGAGCGTTATTTAAGAAACTACAGCTGATTTAAAGTTTTGCATATAAAAATTGATTTTTAGAGGGAAATATGAGTGATCACAGATTTTCACTATTTTCTCGATTGGAGCGTTATTTAAGAAACTACAGCCGATTTAAGGTTTCTTATATAAAAATCGATTTTTGATGGGAAATATGAGTGATCACAGATTTTCAATATTTTTTCGATTGGAGCGTTATTTAAGAAACTACAGCCGATTTAAAGTTTTTCATATAAAAATCGATTTTTGATGGGAAATATGAGTGATCACAGATTTTCACTATTTTCTCGATTGGAGCGTTATTTAAGAAACTACAGCCGATTTAAAGTTTTTCATATAAAAATCGATTTTTAGAGGGAAATATGGATTGGAGCGTTATTTAAGAAACTACAGCCGATTTAAAGTTTTTCATATAAAAATCGATTTTTGGAGGGAAATATGAGTGATCACAGATTTTCACTATTTTCTCGATTGGAGCGTTATTTAAGAAACTACAGCCGTTTTAAAGTTTTGCATATAAAAATCGATTTTTGGTGGGAAATATGAGTGATCACAGATTTTCACTATTTTCTCGATTGGAGCGTTACTTAAGAAACTACAGCCGATTTAAAGTTTTGCATATAAAAATCGATTTTTGGAGGGAAATATGAGTGATCACAGATTTTTACTATTTTCTCGATTGGAGCGTTATTTAAGAAACTACAGCCGATTTAAAGTTTTTCATATAAAAATCGATTTTTGATGGGAAATATGAGTGATCACAGATTTTCACTATTTTCTCGATTGGAGCGTTATTTAAGAAACTACAGCCGATTTAAAGTTTTTTATATAAAAATCGATTTTTAGAGGGAAATATGGATTGGAGCGTTATTTAAGAAACTACACCCGATTTAAAGTTTTGCATATAAAAATCGATTTTTGGTGGGAAATATGAGTGATCACAGATTTTCACTATTTTCTCGATTGGAGCGTTACTTAAGAAACTACAGCCGATTTAAAGTTTTGCATATAAAAATCGATTTTTGGAGGGAAATATGAGTGATCACAGATTTTCACTATTTTCTCGATTGGAGCGTTATTTAAGAAACTACAGCCGATTTAAAGTTTTTCATATAAAAATCAATTTTTGGTGTATAATATAAATAAATAATGTATTGATTAATTGATTAAAATTAATTAAATTTAAAACAAAAAGGAAATAAATTTTTTGTCGTGTAAAAATATTAAAAACAGAGAAATTAAATAAAAAATTGTGATTTCAAACAAAAACAAGAAAGAATTTTAATTATTTCAAAAATGTTCGCCAATTTCATATAAAAATCGATATTTGGGGGAAATATGAATGATCACAGATTTTCACTATTTTCTCGATTGGAGTGTTATTTAAGAAACTACAGCCGATTTAAAGTTTTTCATATAAAAATCGATGTTTGTTGGGAATTATGAGTGATCACAGATTTTCACTATTTTCTCGATTGGAGCGTTATTTAAGAAACTACAGCTGATTTAAAGTTTTGCATATAAAAATCGATTTCTGGTGGGAAATATGAGTGATCACAGATTTTCACTATTTTCTCGATTGGAGCGTTATTTAAGAAACTACAGCCGATTTAAAGTTTTGCATATAAAAATCGATTTTTGGAGGGAAATATGAGTGATCACAGATTTTCACCATTTTCTCGATTGGAGCGTTATTTAAGAAACTACAGCCGATTTAAAGTTTTGCATATAAAAATCGATTTTTGGAGGGAAATTTGAGTGATCACAGATTTTCACTATTTTCTCGATTGGAGCGTTATTTAAGAAACTACAGCCGTTTTAAAGTTTTTCATATAAAAATCGATTTTTGGAGGGAAATATGAGTGATCACAGATTTTCACTATTTTCTCGATTGGAGCGTTATTTAAGAAACTACAGCCGTTTTAAAGTTTTGCATATAAAAATCGATTTTTGGTGGAAAATATGAGTGATCACAGATTTTCACTATTTTCTCGATTGGAGCGTTATTTAAGAAACTACAGCCGTTTTAAAGTTCTTCATACAAAAATCGGTTTTTGGAGGGAAATATGAGTGATCACAGATTTTCACTATTTTCTCGATTGGAGCGTTATTTAAGGAACTACAGCCGATTTAAAGTTTTTCATATAAAAATCGGTTTTTGGAGGGAAATATGAGTGATCACAGATTTTCACTATTTTCTCGATTGGAGCGTTATTTAAGAAACTACAGCGGTTTTAAAGTTTTTCATATAAAAATCGGTTTTTGGAGGGAAATATGAGAGATCACAGATTTTCACTATTTTCTCGATTGGAGCGTTATTTAAGGAACTACAGCCGTTTTAAAGTTTTGCATATAAAAATCGATTTTTGGAGGGAAATAAGAGTGATCACAGATTTTCAATATTTTCTCGATTGGAGCGTTATTTAAGAAACTACAGCCGATTTAAAGTTTTTCATATAAAACTCGATTTTTGGTGGGAAATATGAGTGATCACAGATTTTCATTATTTTCTCGATTGGAGCGTTATTTAAGAAACTACAGCCGATTTAAAGTTTTTCATATAAAAATCGATTTTTGGTGGGAAATATGAGTGATCACAGATTTTCACTATTTTCTC